CCACTGAGCCATCTCTCCAGACCCTAATTTTATATTCTTGATAATAAAATCAAAACATTTAAAAATTTTTCATTTTAGAAGAAATGATTTTTACCTTTCTTTCATTCTTTGACAAACATTGTTATTTGTAGTCTACCATTTCTAATAATTCATAAATTTTATTAGTTTTTATTCTGCCTAAATAATAATTAGAACCTTAAAAAGTCTCAACTTGGAAAAACACTTGGATATTAAAACCCTTAAAAACTAGAACAGGATTTTCAGCAGCCTTTAATTTTAATTTGGAACCTTTCAGTTATTGGCTATACTAATAGCTTAATTTAGCTTCTTCTAACTAGTAAATAAATGTTGAGAAATAATGTGGGTATAAAAATGTGCACCTTCTGAAGGTGCTGGGAGGAAAATGTCACAGGAAACACTGTCTGACACACTGCGCTTTCTTAAAAACAGGAAGCTGCAAGAACTAAGAACCAGATTAAGTACCCTCCAGATCAAGAGGCAGAGTTCATCAAAAGTGACGAGAAGAACAACAGAACAGTGACAAAGTTTGCTGATAAAATGAAAGCTGCCAGTAAAATAAATTCACTTGAACTAAAGAAAAATGATAATGTTCAAGAGTATCCACAGGTAAGGAAATAACTGAAGAAGTGTGTTGTGTGCTATAATAAAGTTATCTTTCATGTTATTTCTTACTTGTATATATTGCTCTTTCCATTTGGACTTTTGCCCTTTACTTTCTGGATGTATCTGTTGACTATCATCTTGAATGCAAAGCTACCAGTTAACTACATATTGATTTGGAATTAAGCATAGAACATTTGAGAACCAGAAGAAAATAATTTCAAAGACTATTCGTAAATCATAGCGATGACTCAGTTGTCATATGGCTCCGAGCTCAAACTTTCCACTACTCAAACAGAAAAGTTAAACAAAGAAAAATCTGCTTCATATTCATAATTTTGCTCAACACTTGAACTGAAAATCTGACTTGAAAACATTTGTGAGGGCCCAGAGTGAGTCATGCTTGCATCTTGCTGTAAAATGCTGCTCTTGCTCAGATAGCATACAGTGCTCATGTTAGCCTGTAAAAACATTCTTCATTATGCCTTTTTTTTTTCACTCCATTTTTAAAAATATCATGACGCATGACTCTAAAACAAGCTAGTGATACCAGCAATAAAGCTAAGAAGAGAAGTGTAATAACCACTTTACAGTTAAAGAAAGAATTCACTCTGAGAGCTGGCCAGCAGACTAACGCACCTGCTTAGGCAGAGCACAGTGGCCGGATTTGATCCCCAGCACACTGTGCTGCCCAGCTCCCAGGGCGTGCTGAGACTGCGATTGAGACTGGGCATGGTGGTGTGCGCCTGTAATCCCAGCGCTTGGGAGGTTGAAAACAGGAGAATCACTATGAGTCAGATCTATGTAGTGAGACCCTGTAGACCCTGTACTGAATATGTAAATTTAAAAAAAAGAAAAAAAATCACTGTAAGATTTGTTGAAGTCTTAGAAAAATTAATTTATAAGGATAATCTGGGGGCTTCACAATCAGTTATTTGGTTTTCCATTATTTCTCTTGGGAAAAAAATATGTTCAGTTCCCAAACTTTTTGGTGTTTGAACATGAATTTGGAATGAATTAAGTTCCACAATTGAGATATCACTGCACTAAAGTTCAAAACTGGAGGGAAAACTCTAAAAAAAAAAATTCACTTTATTTGTCTTGTGCAGCTGACTCAGACTTTGGTGCTGCTCCATCAGGACTTTGCAGAGCTGATCCTTTCTTGAGATCTAACCCTGATCTTTGCCTTGCCCTCTGGCCAGGTTATGTGTTTCACTATGCTCATTCATGCTAGCACACTAGCACCAGCGGATGATTTAGCTGCATGAACTCATTTAAGCTCCTGCAGTATACTGTTTTCTGTTACTTTCAGGATTCTGTATCCTTCATTCTCTTTGATTCATACACTGTTTTCTATCCTCCCTTATTTCCTAAACTCCATCTGGTTTAGGAGTGAGAAACAAAAAATACTACTTCACTTATCTGCTGCTGTATACAAGATTGCCCCAGGATTAAGACACTTGGACAACATTATATTCTCACAGTATTCACAGTCAAGTATCCAGACGTGCCTCCACGGGGTTCTCCTTCTCAGAGTCCATCACAAACTTGGAGCCATGGTGTTAGCCTTGGCTGAATTTATCTTTGGGTCCAAGTGGAAGAGGGTATATTTTGAAGCTTACTCAATAATGCAAGTCTTTGGAGGTCTCAGGCCCTTCGTGGTTGTTGGCTTGAAGCATCAGCATCCTGCCCTGTGGCCTCTCCATGAGAACACTTGGAAGAAGAAAAACGCAGTGAGCAAGCTAGGGGATGAAAGCAGGACAAGATGAGGAGGGAAAGAGGGAGAAAGAAGGAGATGGAGGAGGAGAAGAGGAGCAAGAGAAGGAGAAGGAAGAGGAAGGAGGGAAAGCTAATTTCAGTAGTGGCCTCGCATCATTTTTGCTATATCTTGTTCATCAGAAAACAGCCAGGAAGAGCAGTGCACACACAAGAGTCCATTAGCAGCAGTAATGCCATGAGTCAGGGATCACTGGGAGACACTCTAGAGGCTGCCCATGATGGGTGGATTGAGATGAAGCTATGAAAATTGACCACTTTGATTTTCTGGATTCAGAAAAAAGAACCACTGAAAGTTTCTGAGTAAAAGAGTACCATGTGAGATCTGTGTTTTTAAACAAGTTGTGCGTCAGTTAGATGAATTTTCCTCTTTTATTGATCCTAGAATTAATACAGTTCTGTAAAAAAAAATAATAATAATAATAAATAAATACCAATCCTTTTTAAAAATGAAAGAAAGTAAAGGAGGATAAAAGTGCTAGCAAGCAATGGCAAGCACTGCTCGCAGGGTGTCCAGGAAGACCTTTGCATAGAGCAGACACTGGAGCTGAAGGAAGTGAGAGAAGCCGCGTGCGGACCTCCGGCAGGGCTGGCCATGTGGACAGGCTGCAGCGCTGGGCCCCGCCCTGCCCAAGGCCAAGCTCTCTGTCTGCAGAATGGGCCCTTCCTCTCGGCACTTCAAAGATTCTGTTCCTTGAGTATTTCTTTTCTTTTGTATGTTAGTCAGCTTTTCTCTACTGTGACAAAATATCTGAGATAAGCAACTGAAAGAAGGAAAGGCTCATTTTGTCACGTGGTTGCAGAGGCTTCAGTCTACAGTCACTTGGCTCGTTGCTCCTGTGCCACGCACGACAAGGCCAAGCACCACAGGGGGAGCATGTGGTAGAGCACAGTGGCTCACCTCAGGCTGTGTGGCACACATACTCACTTAATGCAGTCACTCAAGACCAGATGCAGAGATAAGCAAGCTTATTAGCTGGTGGTCAGCACCCAGCAAGGGACCAGGCACCAACCCCTACCCTCAGCACGAGGAAAGAATACTTATACAATTTTAGCTCTGGGTGCTCGCTTCGGCAGCACATATACTAAAATTGGAACGATACAGAGGAGATTAGCATGGCCCCTGCGCAAGGATGACATGCAAATTCATGAAGCGTTCCATATTTTTTTACTGGCTCAGCTGCCAGCATTAGTCTGGCCCAATACCTAATCAATGCCAGGCTTTCCTCTGAGAAGGGCATGGGGTATAGCTAGAATGGTGTAGATTCACTCATAACCCTCTTCTGCTGTTTTCCCATGATCCAACTGTGTAATTTCTGGTCAATGATTCCAGGTTTTAAATAATTTGTAAGTGTTTAGTTTCTACACCTTATCATCCACTAAGAATTTAAAAAATCACATCCTCTGTTCAGCTGTTAATGCTGGGATCCATATTTAGTTTTATAAGCTTTTGCCTGTTTAGTTTGTTTTGGGTTTTTTGGCTCATGGATTTTCTGTTTGTCTATAAGAAAGGTAAGAGTGGAATGTTAATTTCAGTTTAGTTCTGTAATGTCAAGAATTTAAGAATTAAAAAATGGATTGGGGGGGCCTGCCCAGCTCAGTTCTTTAAGTGGCAGCTTCAACAAAGCAGTCAGGCTCAGGTT